CTTGGGAAAAGGTTATCCGAAGATTAACTCCGGGCACATTGAAGATAAATAACTCTGAAATAATATGTAGGCCTACATGCTACTAAATAGAATTCACTCTATTGTAACAATGTTTTGTAAAGAAATTACCCTATCCATATGCCTATCTACTCCCGACATGGATTATGTTTCCCGGTAACTATTCACCGTATCTTTAGCCTTGGCGGTACTCACCTACTCCCTGGAAAATTAGCTCTCCTGGGATATACGAAATATGATATATTTTAGCCTTCTCGGGACGACACCGCTACGGGCCAGAGGACTGTGACGATTATGCACAGTTCACTCGATATATTGTACATATTTCTTCACGCTTTTATTTCTGAGGAGTCTACACGTCTAATTACAATTCTTTGGTTTTTCTTCCACTGAGAAAATATCCTAAAACGTGTAAAGCTATTTCGATTTGCGTAGTTATCCTTTGTTTACATAGGTTGTGCGATTCCACCCGATGTCATCGAAGCCCTATGGAGAGCAAGCAAAGCGGTCATTTTCATGAATAAATATGTATTTTTATGAATCTGAATGTCGCAGGTGTATAAGAATATCTATATAATATTGCAACACGAAGAGTGCCCTCAAAAGCTTGTATGAGGCCAATCTTTTCTAATGTACAAATATGCAGCGCAATGTTATGGCTGCCTGAACATAGCGCCTCACTTGGAGAAAAGTCTGGTCACGTGATATGCAAATTAGCCTGTTGCAATGATGTTAGGCTAAAGTCATCACTGCGCCTTTATAGAAGCCAGGGACCTTCGCTTGCATCACTTCAAAAGGAATTTTGTCGCCCCTCGCAACAAAAAGATTACCCATTCTTGGATTTCCATTTTTCTTTGGGAACGTGTAAGTATATGAAATGTCCATTAAATTTAATTATCAATATATGTTCCTGGCGTAATATACTAGTAACATGTATTATTTAGATTGATAATGTGCCTTAAAAATATAATGGTATTGTTATACAACAAACCCATGTTTATTTTGAATGTTCACCTTGTAAGGGCAAACTGTAAGAGATAATAGAATGGATATCATTCACATATCTATCTGTGAAACAGTATCATATTAACAGGAATTGAAATTAAATCTTAGATAACTCCAAGTGATAATGCTCGGGACGAGTGTTCGTTTCCAAAAGGGGGCATTGTCACAGTGAGCCTCTGTTGTAAACTATCGAGAGTTTTGTTATTTGCGCACGTTCCCGAGATCGTTTTCATGTTTTTATAACTATTCGAGGCATGATTATTTATTACTTGTTACACACGTGGTCTGAATATCTTTATGAGATAATTTGGGTTATTTGAAACAGGTGTTGTGTAGCCAGTTGAAGGTTATCCATCCGTGCTGTGTAACCAAACTAGGTTATTCAACCCTAAGGACGTCATATTGCCGAACTTTCTGTTGCCACCTCGATATTTTAAATTAGCATTATAACTCCATTCAAGCAGTTTTTTTCCAAAAATGTCAACCAAACAGAACGTTAGTGCATAATCATAATCCGATTTCGCTGTCCTGGGGGTTAGTAGTTTTGTGTGTTTTCATCTATTAAAAGGTAGTAGCCGTGACAGAGTTATCTCCCTTTCGAATTGTTTACACCCGACATCGTTTGCTTGATTTATCGTCATGGATAACACTGGTTTCCCGTCCAGTGTGCAATAAATAGATTACAAACCTGGTGGATGTTGAATTGAATATGGAAAATATTCCAACTCAATATTCTTAAACGTTTTGATTTATTCAAAACGCTTAAAAATAACTCGTTGAAATATATTCCATATTCAACACACACTCGTGTTGTAATCTTCATGAAAAAAAATGAAACTGATTCACATAAATTGGATATGTAACACATATTTTTACTGAAAAACATCAAAATTGGAAAAATAATTAACTTAACTCCTTGTAGTGAGTGAGTTTAGTTTTACGCCGCAATCAGCAATTTTCCAGCTGTGGCGGCGGTCTGCAAATCAAGTCTGGACCAGACAATCTTTAAATCTTGCTCAGGAAACGAAAAGATCTCTGACTGACAGAGGGATGACTATATATCCCATGGTATTACATGTCGTTGGGGGTAACTGTCATAAAAACATGTACAATTCACTGTACTGGTAAGTGAAAAAACTATTGCAAGCACCATTGAATCAAATCACCTCACTCACCACATTTCAAATATTCAAGTCTATGTTTTTATACAAATTATGACTTTTCCAGTCCATGTATTAGAATTCCATGTGTCCTCTTTGAATATATGCATATAAAAGTACAATTTTGTCTCAATATGAAATTTTCAAAAAAAGATTTCTCTGAAATATATTTTTTTAACTTTTTACCCCAAAATAGGATTTCGGATAACATAATTTGACTTTTCTAATTCATCCATTGGTAGTACCTTGTAGGACTTTTTAATACTCATTAGTTATAACTTTAACATGTAGAAAACACTAAAATCATTTCTGTACCAATTATTTGGAGGTTTTGCTACACTTTGACTGGACTATTACGGCGAAAGAAAAATAAGTGGAATGATTCTGTTGGATGCTACAACAAATGAATAAACACAAAATACAAATATTAAAATATAAACCGACTAAAGTTAGAGCAATGATATCAGGCCATTACATTTTTCAAGGAATGTATCCATCAATATCCACATAAAGGAACATTATGCCATTTATCTGCAACTGTCAAAGAAGCCTGTTCCGTGTCATGTGACTTTTAACAGTCTAATATGCACAAAAATGTATACATCGTTATAACAAGTGATGAACCGGAACGTTTTCATATGGATACACGACTTTTTTATTGTAATCAATGAGACGTTTTGGTGTAGATGCAATAATATCAGGCTATTACCTTGTTCGAGGAATGTGTCCACCAATATCCACATAAAGGAACGATATGCCATTCATCTGCAACTGTCAAAGAACCGTGTTCCATGTCATTTGTGCTTTAACAGTCAAATATGCAAAAAATGTATAAATCGTTATAGCTGGTGATGTACAGGAACGGGTTTTTTTATGGATAGACACCTTTATTGCAACCGATGAGACGTTTTGGTATAAATGCTGATCTACACCTAAACGTCGCATCGATTGCAATAAAGCTGTCTATCCATAAAAATCGTTTTTATGTTTATCATACCAGCTTCTAAATGCCTCTAGATCTGGAAGAGGTAATAACTGGTGTCGTCCCACTTCGCCTGATGTTAACCCATTAGGTACGGAAAATCTTTTAGGCAATGTGGGTATGTAACGCCTGGATGATTACTACAGGGGCAGTAGGCGAAGTGGGAATGGGAGAGTCCACATGTAGTGATCATAGGGGTGTTCAAAGAATGACAAAAATGCAAGTGACCTTTTTATAAATATTTAATACTTCATACACATCATTAACATATCATTAACACATGTCCCACTCAATCACAATAATAGATGAGTTATACAACATACAGTTTCAGTCATTAACACATGTCATACTCATGTCATACATTCAGTCACATTCACTCCCAGTCACCAAGAAGATTAGTCTATGTAGTGCATCACTTCGATTTCGCCGGCAACCAGTCTATCTTTTGCATCGTCTCAATCGGTTGTCCACAACAATATACTTCCTCTTCCTCTTTGGCTCACGTTGATGACCTTTTTGTTGGGCAAGTCTCACTTCTGTCCTTGACTGCTCCATCTTAATCAGTTTCACAAACGCATAAATGTTGGGATGGCAGGATGGCAGGGAGTTTAGCTTGGAGTGCCAGCCTTCAAGGTTGTTATTTGTTCTGTGGCCGTCGTTGGCAAAGTGGTTCCATTCAAGCTTATCCCACAGGCCCTCATCTACCCAGGTCAAAGTTATATAGTCCATAAACTTCGTACACGTCTCATCCATGGGTGCTTCCTCGATAGCGCCTGTCCAAACATTGTCTACTTGATCGAGGGGTGCAAGTGGGAGGGTCTTTGCCAATTGTTGGTGCAAAACATTAATCGCTTTGGATCAGTGCCCCTTTAAATTAACAAAGTTTACGTCTTGCTCTTTGCTCATCCACAGTTTGCCGTTGTAACTTGAAAAATAATAACAACAACAAGTAAAGATTTCCACTGACTTATATTATTTGTATGAGTTTTCTTTTAAATCAGCTTTATCTATGTATCCCTTTAAAACTGACGGTTTGGGTGGGACAGCAAACATCCTGACAACCACGTTTCCCACCCTTAACCCGTTACAATACTCATACACTCCTCGACACTATATACCCGTGGAGATCCGGATTAGAATTGATCTTCAGTAACCCATATTTGTCGTAAGAGGCGGCTAACGGGATCGGGTGGTCAAGCTCGCTGACTTGTGGTTGACACAAGTCATCGTATCCCAATTGCATAGATCGATGCTCATGATGTTATACCCTGGATTGTCTGGTCCAGACTCGATTATTTACAGACCACCGCCACATAGCTGGAATATTCAGTCACTCACTCGACACGGTATGTTCGAAATTCCTCCGATGTGACATGAATTATAGCTCGATCCTTCAACCAGATACTTACACGGCTCCTCGTGTTCCCCTTATAACAACAGAAGGTGATATACCCTGGAAACTCGTTCAAGATAAGCTGGGTCCTGCAATTACCAAATACCCGTGAAGATCCGGGTTAGAATTTATCTTCAGCAACCCATGCTTGTCGTAAGAGGTCACAAACGGGATTGCGTGGTCAGACTTGGATGGTACACGTCATCGAATCCCACTTGCGTAGATCAATGCTCATGCTGTTATTCACTGGATTGTCTGGTCCAGACTCGATTACAAGTATTTACAGATCACCGCCAGATAGCTGGAATATCGCTGAGTGCGGCAGAAAACTAAACTCACTCACTGCAATGACCAAACATTGCGGTGGTGGACGAGGTTCTTGGTTCTTGGTTCTACTTGCATCAGTTGTTCCTTCAGTTGTTCCTGTTCTTCCATGTTTCAGAAAGACCTACTCGCCAATACGTCATGTATTTGCAAGTATTCACTCTTCTTCTCATGGTCCCCTGTGCACAATCATTTGCCACTCCGATTGAAACGGAAACAAACAGTAAGTTTACAGTCTGAACTTCTTATTGCATACCTCTTAGTCATGTAGCCCAGAACATAGCTGCCAAAGAATTGAATGAATTTTGAGTGAATGAGTGTACGAGAGCTCAATGGTGAAACTTTTGTAGCATTAATTATTTTTATGGAAATTTCTCGTTAAACAAATTATGTGCATCTCAAACGGTAGTGTTTGTATGCATAACAATTAAAACACTTCTTCTTTCAGCCTAACATCATACAATAATTATTCGGGAACTATTCATACACATCATTATTTAACACATTTCTCAATTATACCTCAGCTGTCGTCATGAAAATCCTATATACATGATATTTGCAATTGAACCAAATATATATTTTAGTTCGCTATCAGCGTATTCATGATGTAAAGTACATGTTATGTGTCCATTCATGAGTGCAATATAGACACAACTACCCATGACAACACATCTAATTCACTTACATAATTATAGACTGTTTGCTGTGAAAACGTACCAATGAATTTCAATTTAAACAAAAAAGTAAATCGAATTAAAGGTCACATGCAACCAAAAAATCAAACATAATTAAAACACAATTATCGCTTATTCATGACATATAATATACATTGCTGGTTATGAAAAAACATATAAACAAAATTATAAGCGTACAATAGCAAATCAAAAAGTGCAAAATTGTGTACTTGGGTTTACTTCCCAAGAAACGAAGCAGCCGGGTTACCGAGCCCAGTCAGAGCGGGTGAGTGTGCACTCAAGTGTAACGGCTGGTTCATTTGCAGATGCCCTGACGGCTCATTGTGTGTGTACATATAGTGATGTTGGGTTTTGTAAATACATGGTCATTGTTTGTGTATAACATTTTACAATCAACAGACTTCATAACATGTCATGTGATCAAGTATCACACCTGCCTGTCTGTGTAATTACATAATGTGACAGAGACTGAACTCGGGCCATAAATCAATGCATTTTGTTTATGGTGTATAGCCTGATTGGTGTTAAGTTAAAATTGCATGTGGTCAGTGATAGCAGCTGTGTATTGAATATTGTCATTAGCAGACAGGCAGGCAGACACACACAGGTATCAATAAAACAAGACATTGAGTTTATTCTGTGACAACGACATACATATGTATCTATATCACAGTTAGAAATTCTGTCAATGCTAAATAATGACATTGCTTTTAAATATCGAACTGAGAAAGTGACTTGGTAAGAAAAACGTGTGGTGAAATAGACAAATGAAATTATATGAACAGTTAATTTACTGTCATAACATATAAAAAGCTCGCGCCTGTAAGATATCAACAAAACATTAGAAAAATAGCTCACACCAAAGCCTTCACCGAGTATTCACCGGACAGCCCGCTTCCAAGTTGCGCGAACCTATTTCACTGCGCACGTGCTATGAGCGCAGCCCAGCTGTTGAAACCAGTTTTCCCCAGAAAAGTCTGGGGAAAATTAGTGAAACGTTTGAACTCCGATTTCGCGCGGGTTTTTTAATCGCGTTATTTTTCAACTTTATAAGTTGAATTTGCATTTTTGACGCTTTGTTTCGGTAAGTCCATACCGAAAGGTATCAGAATCTGTAAAGTTGTGTTTTACGTTGCATGTGACCTTTAACTTTGCAAAGTGCATCAGCTTGAGCCATGACATGAAGGATAACTAAAGTGATATTTCAATATTAGTAACTGTTTAGAATTAACGTGAAATTTGTGGCAAACATATACAATATATATAGGCGCGGTGGGCGAGCTGGCTTAAGTGCCAGGCTAGTGATCCAGCGACCTTGAGGTGTCGGGATCGAGCCAAAATGTGACCGGGTGTAAACACCTCGGAGTCAACTTTGTGTGCAGATTCTTTCAGTGTTTTCACAACCCCTAGTGTACAGTACACATCCCTGAGCACTTAAAAGAACCCACGAAGCCGTTGATATATGCCCAGATGGTGGCCACATGAATACGTGCAAACACCTAGTTGCGGGTACAGCAACGTGCAGTGAACTTGGACAAAGTACTGTGACTATGTGTCCCAGTCCACCCAGCTGTGAATGGGTACCTCGTTAGGATGAGAAGGCCACAATAACTCGGTGCGCCTAGTGGCTGCAAGAGTCGTATGATCCCCGGGGAGTTGAGATTGATAACACGATGTGCCGTTGAGATTGACATCCAATGATCGAGGGAAAAAACACCAGCGCCTTGAGCATGCACTAGTTGCCTGGATATGTGCGCTATATAAATATCCTATAATAAATATAGATACAGAAATATTTACACAAAAGAATTTAATCATAAATTGTACTGTGTGCACTGTCATCGCAAGCATGTGATTGCAACAGAGTCGAAAACGCAGTATAGACATAGCTTTTAGCAGAGATTTCATAGGTTGAGATTTCATATTGCAATTGTACAACTGACTGACTGAGTTTACGCCGCCTTTATTTCAATTCACGCTGACCTTTGACCCGGTCTTCGGCGTGACGAACACCTTTCAAAACACGAAGCCAGAGGTGGCAGACTGAGAAGGCCCTGTAAAGGATTAAACCCGGAACTAAAGCCTGAAATTCAACACGTGGGGTATGTTTCATGGTGGGGGACAAACACCATTTGTTTTTCTGGGGTGGGTTGATGGGTGGTTAGGAAGGGATCTAACACAAGATCAAATCATCCAGTTTTGCAAGGGACGCAAAACTTCATCTACGTATTTCACATATATTATTGTTTGTTTTTAACGCTGCACTCAGCAATATTACAGCTATTTCGCAGGGGCCTGTAAATAATCGGGTCTGGACCAGAAAATCCAGTGATCAACGGCAGGAGCATCGACCTGCACAACCGCGATACTTTGACGAACCCACGATCATAAGAGACAGACTGAGAAAGGTCCTCTAAAGGAGTAAACCCGGAACTAAAACCTGATATTCAACACCCAGGGTATGTTTCTGTTTATGCGCTGTGGGTTCATCTACTTACTTGCTCTGTTGGATATGATCCAGCCAGGCTTTAGGGGAATAACAGCATCATTCAGTTGAGGTGATGTGTTACGTCTAATGATTCTTCGCAGTTGTTTGTCACATCCTGTGACCCGTGCGATACTTTCTTAGATCCTCTTCTTTCCAGAGAGTAAGCTGTGTACACAATGTTGAGCAAATGTTACAAGACACCTTCAGGCTCTTAGGCAAATACAAGAACATTAGGACATTGGAAGACACTGCCAGAGAGTGATCCACTGAACTGTTTGTTCCAAGCCATCCAGTAGAATCTGTGTTTGGAAATGAGTGACAGTTGATTTTCAGCATCATTTACAAAGAGCGAATCAGATTCATGGGGATGTTTAATTAACCCCTCTTTCCCAACATCCAAAACAACACTTGCGTCTCCACATATCGGCCGTCGGCCGCAAATGCAGCCCAACACCCAAAACAGCTTTTACGTCTTCAAGAGTTGTTGATGAAATGTTGATGTTTCGCAGTCAAATCTTATTGTTACCATGCCGAGCCCCTCAAGGTAATGAAAGTATTAGATTCATTGTAATTTAAGAGACTCACTAAAACAATAACCCGTGTTTCATGTAAGTGAGACTTAGGTCATACTGAAGTTTACGTTGAGAAAAGCAAATGAAAGCAACCGTGTAATGCTCGATGTTTTCCTTTCAGAGTGGGGAACAGTGATTTCCTTTTGTACCTACGAAGGTATTCAGTTCCTGCCCGGGTCGATGTGGAAAACAAAGGATTGCCTGGTCTGTTCCTGCTCAGAGACAGTACTCAAGTGTAAGGGGTAGGTAGATAACACTGTGTGAACTCTTTTGTCATGGGTAGATGGATAATACTGTTGGAACTCCCCTGTCAAGGGAATGTAGAAAACACCGTGGGGACGCTTTTGTCAAGGGTAGGTAGATACCACTGTTTGGACTTTTCTGTCAGGAGTAGGTAGATAACACTGTTAGGACTCTTCTGTCATTGATATATAGATAACACTGTGTGGACTCTTCGGTCAGGTGTAGGTAGATACCACTGTTTGGACTTTTCTGTCAGGGGTAGGTGAATACCTCTGTTGGGACTCTTCGGTCAGGAGTAGGTAGATAACACTGAGTGGACTCTTCTGTCATTGGTATATAGATAACACTGTGTGGACTCTTCGGTCAGGTGTAGGTAGATATCACTGTTGGGACTCTTCTGTCATTGGTATATAGATAACACTGTGTGGACTCTTCGGTCAGGGGTAGGTAGATAACACTGCCAGGACTCTTCTGTCATTGGTATATAGATAACACCGTTGGGTCTCTTCGTTCAGGGGTAGGTAGATAACACTCTGTGGATTCTTCTGTCAGGGGTAGGTAGATAACACTGAGTGGACTCCTCCGTCAGGGGTAAGTAGATAACCCTGTTGGGACTCTTCTGTCAGAGGTATATAGATAAGATTGCTTGGACTCTTCTGTCAGCAGTAGGTAGATACCACCGAGTGGACTCTTCTGTCAGGGGTAGGTAGATAACACTGTGTGGACTCTTCGCTCAGGGGTAAGTAGATAACACTGTGTGGACTCTTCTGTCAGGGGTAGGTGAATACCTCTGTTGGCACTTTTCTGTCAGGAGTAGGTAGATACCACCGAGTGGACTCTTCTGTCAGGGGTATGTAGATAACACTGTGTGGACTCTTCTGTCAGGGGTAGGTGAATACCTCTGTTAGCACTTTTCTGTTAGGAGTAGGTAGATAACACTGAGTGGACTCCTCCGTCAGGGGTAAGTAGATAACCCTGTTGGGACTCTTCTGTCAGAGGTATATAGATAAGATTGCTTGGACTCTTCTGTCAGGGGTAGGTAGATACCACTGTGTGGACTCTTCTGTCAGGGATAGGTGAATACCACTGTGTGGACTCTTTTGTCAGGAGTAGGTAGATAACACTGAGTGGACTCATCTGTCAGGGGTAGGTAGATACCACTGTGTGGACTCTTCTGTCCGGAGTAGGTAGATACCGCTGTGTGGACTCTTCTGTCAGGGGTATGTAGATAACACTGTTTGGACTCTTCTGTCAGGGATAGGTGAATACCATTGTGTGGACTCTTTTGTCAGGAGTAGGTAGATAACACTGAGTGGACTCTTCTGTCAGGGGTAGGTAGATACCACTGTGTGGACTCTTCTGTCCGGAGTAGGTAGATACCGCTGTGTGGACTCTTCTGTCAGGGGTATGTAGATAACACTGTTTGGACTCTTCTGTCAGGGATAGGTGAATACCACTGTGTGGACTCTTTTGTCAGGAGTAGGTAGATAACACTGAGTGGACTCATCTGTCAGGGGTAGGTGAATACAACTTTTGGGACTCTTCTGTCAGGAGTAAGTAGATAACACTGAGTGGACTCTTCTGTCAGGGGTAGGTAGATAACATTGTTCTGACATTTCTATCAGGGGTAGGTAGATACCACTGTTGGAACTCCTCTGTCAGGGGAAAATAGATAACACTTTAGGGACTTTTCTGTCAGGGTAGGTTGATAACACTGTAGTTAGATCCAAACTTATTACAGGACATGCACAAATGTTGAAAATTAGATCCATCTCGCCATTTTTGACACATAACTAAATCACGACTTCATTTGGTGTTTTGAAATTAAAAAATCGAATACTTATTTGGAAAATTGAATTTTTTAAAAAAGGACTTAAGCGTCTTAAGGTTTGGTTTTTTGTTTGTTGGGGGTAGGGGGGGGAGCACATACGTGTGGGGGGTTGTATGTTATAAAGTATGTTGTTTGTGTTTTCATATTACATAGTTTGAATAACAATTATATCAAATGATATCACTTAAAATGTTAGTTGATGACAGATGCGAATACAATTATGACAACGATTCTGACCTTGAATGTTAATATCACTGTTACTCATTGACAGATTACAGCGGCAGGTAAACGTCAGATGGGCAATGCCTTATCGGTGTTGCAAGTGATTCTAGTTTCAAGTTTCAAGACATGCAGCAACGTTTTATTTGTAGATTTGGTTATGCGGCCGGGTCATTTGAGGCACCTGCGGGCTGTAAGTTTGTCAATGACGGCTGTCAACCAAGGATGGTTGTTGAGGAGGATGAAACGAAGGACTGTGCGCCACCAGAGTAAAGCATACTTCATGTAGAATGTATTCCTGGAGCTGATAAACATCAGTGAACTCTGAATGTGTCCTTGTTTGTTTAAGGGACGATGATGTTCAATCGGGTTTAGCTACCGTGCGTCATCTTTTTGAGTAGGGTGGGGGACAAAACATCTACATACAGAAAAATTACATAAAATAATTTAATCATAAATTGTGCAATGTCACAATTCATAAACATGTGGTCGCAAGAGAGTCGTAGTATGGACATTTAGCCGAGATTTCTTAGGTTGTATAAGGACTTTTAAACAATTGAAATTCTGCTAACCTTTGACAAACACATGACCAGAGGAGGTGAGGTGAGGTGAAATTGGGTTTTACGTCGTACTTGAGAATATTTCGCTCATATGACGACGTACATGCGTGTGTATGTGTATGTGCGGCTGCTTGTACTAGCCCAGACTTAAGCTGGTTTTATAGTGCTAGCTCACTGAGATACCATGCCGCAGTGAAGCATGAATACCCCACTCAGACACATTATACTGACTCCGAGCTGACCAGTCCTTGTTGTACCCATTAATGCCGAGCGCCAGGCAGGGACCAACAAGTACCATATTTTAACGTCTTTTGGTATGACGCGACCGGGGATCAAACCCGCGACCTTCCGCTCTCCGGGCGGACGCTCTAACCACTACACCACGGAGGCGGTCCATGACCAGAGGAGGCAGACTTAGAAGGCCCTGTAAATGATTAAACCCGGAACTAAAGCCTGAAATTCAACATGCTGGGTGTGTTTCATGCTGGGGGACAAACACCTTTTGTATTTCTGGAGTGGGTTGATGGGCGGTTGGGAAGGGATCTGATATAAACAACACACACAAGATCAAACTATCCAGTTTTTCAAGGGATGCAAAACTTCATCTACGTATTTCACATATATTATTGTTTGTTGTTTAACACTGCACTCAGCAATATTCCAGTTGTTTGGCGGCAGTCTGTAAATAATCGTGTCTGGACCAGACAATCAAGTGAGCAACGGTATGAACATCGATCTGCGCAACTGGGATACGATAACATGTGTCAACCAAGTCAGCGAGCTTGACCACCCTATTCCCGTTAGTCGCCTCTTACAAACAGCATTCGATACTGAAGACCAATCCTAACCCGGATCTTCACAGGTATATATAATTGTAATAAGTGGCATATTACGATCTTCAAATAAGATTGCATATGTGATTTTGTAAATCTTGGAGTCATGTAGCTGCGGCAAAAACAAGACGGGAGAAATGACAGACCCCATATATGACGTGTCGTAAGCTGTTCTTACATGCTGTTGAAGAGCTGTATCCGTTGGTAGGATGGCATGTATTAGGCTTTACTGCAAGCACTACAACATCTACTGTTCGTAACATAATCTTTTCATGGCTATGAAGCAATATGAAATATCGCCTTTTTGATGACTGCAAGGGACAAGTGAAGACAGATCATGTTGTTGAGGAACACACACAACCTGTCCTCTATCTATAACATTGATTTCAATGTCCTGGCCCCGATTTCTCGAAACAAACTTAAGTCTAAGTTTTGACTTAAATTTGAGTTTTTACTCAAATTTGAGAAAGCGCAGGAAAATGCATTTCCCAGACTGAACTGAATTCGATATTAAACTCAAACAGTGTTGACAATTTGAGTTTGGTGGATAGAATACTTAAGTTGTTGGGGCTTTTTCATTTTAAAAATGCAGTTGAGTTAAAAATTCCGCTGTTTTCAATTCCCAAACTCAGCTTGAAATTTGAGTAAAAACTTCAGTTTCTTTCGAGAAATCAGGCCCTGGTCCTTGACAGGCTGAATAAGAGCCGTTGACAAATATATAGGACATTTGACTTGGTAGCTATCATCTTCATTCTGCTAGTCTTCTCGATATGGCTGAAATATTGCCGATGTGACCTTAAATAATAACTCACTCACTCACTGCTAGTCTTTTGGTGCAGCAGCAGGGCTAATGGCATGCCTGCGAACACAGCCCCGATGGGCTCGAACAGTTGCTTGTTGACTGTATCTATCCCATATCAGATCATATCTGTTCAAGGATGTGTGGTATGAAAACCTCACTAGCATATTCATCAAATTTTTATACAGTTAAAGGTTTCAACTTACGAACAGTGACAGCTCCGTCAATAATCAATCTGGTAACAGTTGGCTCTTCTGATGTTGCTGGAATACAGGTACATTTGTTTTTAAGGATTGAACTTGGACGAAGAATCGGAATAGATGTAAAAAGCTGATTATGTACACACTGCAGCCGCTACGGAATAGATGTAGTTGAAAATGAATTTCATTTCTTACTTGTATGCAAAGCTTTTCCAAATTTATGAAAATCATATATTCACCCTGCATACCATGAACACCCCTCTGCTGCAGCATTTGTCAGTCTTATCAATTCCACATGTCCTCAAACATTGCTAAATCTAAGTAAGTATGTATTCTTAGCATTTAACCTTTACCCATCGGTAGACCAATAATGTTATTATCATGCATTGTGTATTACTGTAGTACCTTGTGAAATTTATTCATCGTTTATATATTGATGTATAACAAAAATGTGTACATGCCGTTAATGTACGTCCTATGAGCCTGTGGCCT